CTCATGTTCCTTAAGTACATCTACCCTGTTGAACTTATTATGGGAAATAAATATTTAAATCAAAACAAGCTGCTGATTATTTCACATTTTACTTGTGAGCAACGGCACATTTAAATCTTACAAATATAGTTATTTGGCTTATATTGTGATATATATCGTTATCGCCTGAAATGAAAAAAAAAAAAAACATATCGTGATATGAAAAAATCTTATATCGCCCAGCTCTAATCACACCAACTGACAGAAACAATCTCATCATCAGACTATTGATTTCATGAATTAATGAGGAAATTAGGTAAAAACGGTGTTTGGTGAGCTCTTCGATCTGTCTGTAGTCAGTCCCCGAGATCATCTGCACATCAGTGAGGCCAGGTTTTAAATTTCAACAAATTTTGCAAAAAATTCCAAATCAGTGTTTTTACTTTTAGTTTCAGTTATTGGGTGTAAAAGACTGATTTGTATTATTGTAAAGCTAAATTTGTGGCATCTTTAAATAAAATAAAAAATGTAAATAAATTAAAAGGGTTGTATGGATCTGGATACACCAACCCTGTGTATTTATGTTGTATGTTTATCTTGATATTAACATTTTTAAAACATTAATAATATATTACTGAGGAAAAAAACAAAAGAAATCAAGCAGTTCGAATACTTTAAGGAGTGATAGTGTAAATGCTGCACCTTTTACTCACAGCTGTGCACATACAATATTAAAATGACACTGATAAAACCATTCTTCACAGATGAAATTATGTTTAATTTAGAGCTTTGCTTTTTGACCGTGTCGTGTGTATTTATTGTCTGTATTTCTTACTCATAGGTTGTCACAGTGTGACATTGAAGAGGCTGGCTGCTGTGATCTGGGCTCAGCTCTGCTGATAAACCCTTCTTTTCTCAGTGTGTTGGATCTAAGCATCAATTGGATTGGAGACAAGGGGGCCAATGAGATATTTAACAATTTTGACATATCGTATCTAAAAAAGTTGGAGTAAGTATGGCTTAATCTACAGAAAGTCCTTTTTCCAGTAACATACCAAAGCATATAAAAGTTGGGTTCATAGATAGACACGTTTGATTTATGGGATAAATATAGTCTTGATTTAGTGAGTTGATCACAAATATCACATTAACTCGAGGGGAATTTAAGCCATTTTTATACACAGTCCCCTCTTTTTTTTGTCTTTTTTTGTGCGCCAAAGCTGATCGTTTATGCCTAGTCAGCCCCCATAGACTACCATGTTAAAAAGAACCGCTTTAAAGCAGAAACAACCATGTTTACAACCTTCTAACAAAAATATCTTTTGGCTTCTGTGGACAGTTTGGAGGCATTTATGCCGCTAAGGTTTAGCGGCTACTTTGACAGATGTAACTGTAGCTACTAACTGCAGTCACTGAACTGGATTTCTCCAGTGTTTTGGTGCCTTTTATGAGCTTTTTAATACAATTATCTGACAAATATTGAGGCAGGAACTAGTGTATATATTGTGCTCATACGGTTTATTATTCCACTTTGTTAGCTTTAGCCGCTAACTTAGCATGTCACCCTCTCCAAATATGGTCACTTCTGGCTCCAAAAATATCATGGTACCATAATGTAGCTAATGAGGCTGCCATTTCTGCTTCCATCTTTTATTTACAGCCAATAATTAAAGCAAAAACTCTGCATGTTTAACCCATATTTAGAGACTTTGGAGCTTTTTATTGTCATTGTGCAGTTTCTTGCACAGCGAAATTGGGTAGCTGAACCACAAAGGTGCTAAAGTAAGAAGAAGAGAAACCAATATACAATGAAGGCGGAAAATAAATAAATAAATAAATAGAATAAAATAAAAAAACAGTGTATATGTATACATATGTGAGTGGAACTATATACATGGTGTATGTGTAGGAAACATTGAAACAGACTGGGACCAAAATAATTGCACACGAGCCAAAAATATTGCACATCGATGATCAACAGCAGTGTCAGGGTGGATGTGTTGGGGAAGTCTTTACACACTCTTAGTTTATCACTGTAACTTCATTATACTTTGCAAGAAAGCCAATTTAAAAAAAAAAAGATGTCTGTCACCACAGATATATGGATAACTGCTGCTTATCAACATGAATTAATAGATTTCACTCATATGGTCTTTCATAGCTTCTTTCGTGTCTTTGGCAGGTTGTACTGCTGCGGCCTCACCGTGCTGAGCTGTGAAAGTATTGGGGAAGCTCTGAAGTGTGAAGCGAGCTCTCTGTTAGAGCTCAATTTGAGCAACAACAGCTTGAAAGATGCTGGGTTTAAAATCATCTGCGAAGGCATGTATGCGTGGTGTAGTCTCCAAAAACTCAAGTAAGCACGATCTGATTACACACTGACTGAAACAAAGAGACGTTAAAAATCCTTTTTAATCCATTTATTATCGATGAATATGTGGCCTAACACATTATTTCTCCTCAGCGTTTCACGATGTGGAATCACTGGTGCAGGCTGTCGCTACCTGGCAAAGGTCCTCTGTTCAATCTCGCAGCTCACCGATGGCGGGATGGGAGTTGGCGAGTGGCAGGCAGTGGAGCTGATAGACCTGGACCTCAGCATGAACCACATCGGAGACAAAGGAGTGAAAGAAATTTCACCCAGCCTAATGAATCCTTTGAGCCACCTGAAAACTCTGAAGTGAATCTTTTTGGGGTTTTTTTGACTTCATAATGACAGCGTGGGCTCAGTTTGACTGAAAGAAAAGCTTGCTCTAACATAGCTCTTTGCTTCCTTTCAGCCTGAGTTACTGCAGTCTGACTGACAGCTGCTGTGCAGAGCTCGCCTCTGGACTGATGTCAAAGGCGAACATTCTCAGCAAGCTCGACCTGTCGCACAACAACCTTCAAGATAAGGGAGCGAAGAAACTCTGCATCGGACTCCAAAGCCCGCATTGCAAACTTGAGGAAGTGTCGTAAGTTATTCAACTTTTATACTATGTTTAAAAAAACAACAACAAAAAACCCCTCTTCCTCATAAAGTTAAATGAGTCAACACATGGGCTGTATCTTCATAAAATATATGGCTGTTGAAGTACAGTAGTATAGGCCTATTTAACACCACATACAGTTTACATGAGACAGTTTTATTTCTTATATGAATGTTATTTATTTTAACTGTCATAAACAGGATGTGACAAGTGATAATAATAACAACTGTACTGCAATAAAACATTCACAGCAGGTGGGATATCCGGTCTTTAAGTGATGACCTGATGAATCCCATAAAAACAGTCAGTGATCACTATGGGCCTGTTTTTATTACCACTCTTCATTTTAAAGCTCTGTTTTTAAACCCTTACGATTATCTCAGTTGTTCTCCTGACTGAAGTTTGGTCCGTTTACAGCATCCTGTGATTGCATTTGTCTCTAACCATCAGGAACCTTCACGTTAACTTTTATCGAGTGGAAAAAAGTTAGCGTTCATCCTCCAGCTTCACCAGTTTATGTTATGCTAACATAGCTGTGTAGCTAACCACAACGCAGCACATCATTATATACCCGACTAGCCCGACTTCAGTAACCCTACAAACGTCACTGCTGTTTAGTTTTCTGTCTTCATTTATGTTTGAATTTTTGCTGAGGCGGTTAAGCTGCCGGAGTTTTGGCTTCACGATCCTACAAGGAGCTTCGGCATCCAGGCGATAGTTTCCGACTCACCCACAGCATCTCCAGCGCCCCCACCGATTCTCCCGGGGGCCTCCGACACATCGATGGTGGCTGGGATGGCGGCACGGCAGCACCGCCGAAAAGGGCTGTGTTTTTTACCGTCAGTGTGACAACGCAGTTTTAAGGCCCAGGGAAATGAGCCCACCAGCACTCTCTAGTGGCCGTGACGCCGGCGATAAGGAAAGGCTGCTCTTCATAGAGGACTTGCGCTCAGGGAGACGTTTTCTGGTTGACCCCGGCTCTCAGAAGAGCCTCGGGAACTCTTGTGTTGTCTTTGCATAGCTCCACAATCGTATATTATTTAATCTTTAAAAAAAAAGGAGTTTTCCCGCGTACCACCAGAGAGAGCCCAAGTACCACGAGTGGTACGCGTACCACAGTTTGAGAAAGACTGGCTTAGAACCAGTGAAGTAAAATTCAGGTTCTCAGTTTATGTGAAAAGTCTAAAAAATGAAAATTTACAAATATATGTTAAAAGAATCCTCACAAATATGTTATAAAAATAAAATTAAAAAAAACATGAACATTTATGATGGAAAAAATAGTTGAACAGTTTTTCGTTGTCACATTTCAGGATAAAGTTGGAAAGAATTCACATCCGCATCGGCCCTCGAGGCCTGGAGTTCCCCCACCCCTGCAATAAGTGAATCTTTTACCCATTTAACCACGTAAAGCAGGGGCGGGGAACTCCAGGCCTCGAGGGCCGGTGTCCTGCAGGTTTTAGATGTGTCCAACACAGCTGATTTAAATGGCTAAATTACCTCCTCAGCCTGTCTTGAAGTTCTCCGGAGGCCTGGTAATCATTTGAGTCGGGTGTGTTGACCCATGTGTCGACGAATGAAAGTTTCCCTCTTGAAATTTTGCATAGTTCTTTTATAAATTTGTACTTTTTTTCCTCATCTCTTTGTGGCTTTAACCTTCAGATGATATTACTCCACTCCACTCTCCACAAATGGGCGAGACCTTAAATACTTCCACACATATGTGCTGCTAAGTTAGTGTTTTTGTAGCACAGTCGACTGTGAGCCCAGTGATGCACCCAGATGTTCAGATCTGTATTTATAACAAAACATGTTGACAAGTTGAAATATAAGTCAAATAGAATTTGCAGCTCCTCTTAATTCAAAAGACGTGCACTGGAGAGACTGTGTCACCGTCTCCATGACATAAAGAGTAACAAATTCTTTGATTTGCCCTTGAATTTATGCAGTTATTGCTCAAATGACAGAAGTGATAACAAACATGTCCTGTTAATGTTTGAACACAAAATACTCGCCCAAGTTATTTGTTAATAACCAAATGATGCACCTGAGTCGAGCTCGGGTAAATGCATGCGCATGTTTGTTTGCAGACCCACACTGTCGGGGTAGACTGAGCTGTTCTGTATTTCTGTTTCTGTTCAGACTGAGGACCTGTGGCCTGACCTCGAGGAGTGTTCAGTTCCTGACCTCAGCCCTGAAGTTAAACCCTTTCTATCTGACAGAGCTGCACCTGGTGGGCAACAGGCTCGAGGACGCTGTAATCAGAGCACTCGTGGAGCTAACGAAGAACCACAAATACGCACTCAGGACAATAGAGTGAGTACCAAAGATGTGAAAAATGCTCAGATAAGAGCAGGTGGGTTTCTGCTTTTGCCTTGTTGGATGGTCATTCACAACCAAGAAAAACGGATAATATATAAGTATCGTAACACTGATAGTTTCTACTTTTATTTAGTCGTAAAACGTGAGACCTCAGATGGTACTGTGCAAAAGAAAAATTGTGCGATCTTTAAAACCTGGGCATTATTGTTCCATCTCTTTGGGTCTGTTATTAAAAAAACACAGAAATGTTTGTTTTCATTCAACGTTGAGCAAGAATGCTGTAATTTAACCAACAGCCCTGAAACTGTGGGAGTGTAATGGCTTAAAGCAACGCTCCACATTAAAGTTGTTGTTATTTTCAACACTGATGAGCTCCAATTATAAGTCTCTCTCTGAGGTATCACATGATTGCATTAAAGCAGTGTAAACATCAGGTAGTACTCACATTCACAGCTTCAACACTGATTTTCTTGAATATGGTGGATTACACTGAGCACGTGCGACAGATCCCAGAGTCTTTCACATCTGTCAGGTGTTCAGGGTGAATCTGAATCTGTGACGAGAACAGGGCACCAGCGGTTTCTGCTTCCCGGCTGGACTGACTGATGTCCCTGAAGTTTAACTCACTTTGAGTTACATTGTGATGACTAAATGTTTCCTGTTAATCATCACCCCCCAAAATAGGAAAATAAGACCCAGAACTGTCCTTCAGTATATTTCTATCCTTATCTTTTCACTATTCATAACAAATTTCACTCCCTTTATTTCAAGCATTCATGTGCTTTTTTTGTTATCTTATCTTCCAGCGTCTCAGTGGACTGAAGAAGAAGTGACACAAATGGCTCTGTCTCCTTATTTGCACAGAAACTGGATGGCTACCACATAATTCTATTCAGTTTGAGTTTCTGACTTAGAAGTAGTGTAAAAATACCAAATGTGCTTTAAAAGACTCTAAATGTTTTAATTTTCATTATATTTTGTATATAATGTTTTTTTAACCAAGTACTTTATTTCCGGGCCATAGAAGAATTTCCTCACGTCTTGGTTACGGTGACCATATTCCAACAAATGAAGGTTGCTAATGCCGAGAGGCATGTGGTATATGAAGGACAAAGTTATTTCACGTGAATGTGACATTTGTAGCCAAGTAAAAACAATAAGTGTAAAAACAAGCTAACATTTTTATATACAATATTGTTCATAATTTACTACATTCTCGTTTTTCCGGGCCATAGAAGAATTTCCTCACGTCTTGGTTACAGTGACCATATTCCAACAAATGAAGGTTGCTAATGCTGAGAGGCATGCGGTATATGAAGGACAAAGTTATTTCACGTGAATGTGACATTTGTAGCAAAGTAAAAACAAGAAGTGTAAAAACAAGCTAACATTTTTATATACGATATTGTTCATAATTTACTACATTCTCTTTTTTTTTCACTGTAATTTTGAAATTGTTGAACTGTTGCTGTTCGTTCTGTTTACTGTGGTGCAACCAGCGTTACAAGGTACTTCACATAAGTTATAAACACTGACACATTACAAAATGTGGTAAAATGAGAGAAATTGATTAAATTGAAGCTAAACAGAGTGATAATAAAACACTCGGATGACATTAAAAGTTGTCACAAAACACTCTGAGAATCATCTTAAATTGCTTTGATCAGTTAGTTATTTACGAGAGTTTCTATCATATTCTGCCCAAACTGTAGCTGGTCACTTTTAATTTTCCACCTTGGGTGTAATATGTTTACCTGCAAGAGAGCCATGGGACAGCTTTCACTGCCTTTTTTTCACAGCTGTTCAAAAACAGATTTTGGATGCTTATTAATGTGGAGCATTTTCTCAATATTTGGCACGGTGTCCTGGTCACCCCAGTCACACTCACTGTTTACATATCCATGCAGTTTTATTTGTTTCATTCCTCTTGAATGTGATGCATCAGCAGAACTCATCTCTGTAAACCGCACACAATAAATGCCTCTATTTTTGCACCAAGCAGTGCGGTGTGCCGGTTCATTTGTTCTGTTGCAGCAGAGCGCCATCTAGCGGCTCATTGTTTCACAGAGTGACGCGTGTGACGCCACTTGACACAGCAGCTCTGTTGGTGTCGGTGCATCACACCGGGCAGCATCTCCAGTTTCACCGCAGACCAGTGAGCGCGCCCCGCGGCTGAAGGTAGGGTAGGCTTTGGGATGTTTTTCAGGGTGTTTTCCAGCGCTAAAAGCTGCGCTCTTTTCCTGCATCCTTCACTAATCCTCCGCTAATCCATCACACAGTGATGTGTTCTGTGTGTGATGGTTGTTATGTAATTGCAACACACTGACAGTGAGGCTTAAATGCTGTTTGTCTTCCATGTCACGGTAATTTGATAAAGGAGAGAGGTACCAAAAAGTACAGAGGGGCGTGGGGGGGCTGGGTAGGCCCGGATGGCGCAGTTTCAGCGCACAGACATTGCTCCCCAACGGCCACACCATCATCTTCATCAGCAACATCGCGCTGCCACAGCTAAATAGTGCTGTGTAATAACTCTGTGACTCCTGGGACATGCGGGCGTCTCTAGTGCAGGTCTGCAGCGTCATGACCACCGCCTGGTCGTTGCGGCAGTGTCGCACAGAAATATCCTGCAATGACACGTTTTTACGTCAGATCTGATGAGCTGGATGAGATTTGTAAGATTGGGGGGCTTCATTTTGAAGTGCACGAGTCTTGAGTGTATGGGCTGCTGTGCTCTGATGTTAGCTCTGTTTACTGTGTATTTTGGCAAATACCAACATTTTCCTTTCATAGCCTGTTAAACGAACAGAACAGTAAATGCAGTATTTACCCCCTTACCCCTCCCATTATTTTATATTTTTATATTTATATTTAAATAACCACCGGTTTATGCAGTAAAATAAAAGTTTAGGTTCAGTACAACAGTTTTTTTTTTTTTAGTTTTTTTTTTGGTAGTTCATTTGTTGTCTATTTGACTATAATAACCTTGGTTTAGTCTGCAATCTTCTAATCTGCTGAATTGCCCATGCGCAAGACACTTCCTTAGCTTGTGAGGGAGTAGTGCAGGTGTTGCTAATCAGACTTACTGTAACTGTTAGCTAACTAAATTTTGTTTAGCCTCAGAAAACAAAAGGTAAGGTGATGGTTGGAGCTAGTGTATTATTTTGTTGTATGTATATATTTCTAATTGTTAATTTGGATATGTCTTTGTTCAGATTTCAATGTAAACTTTCAAAATACCATCGGGAAATCCCGTTAGCTTATTGTTAGCTCGTAGGGCGGGTAATTTTGTCATAATACAAGCAAACTAATATGAGCTTTACTTTTAGCAGGCTTGTTATTATTAAATTAACTTATTTTATTATGTAATAAACTTGTGCATTCTATATTTATATACCAGTCTGAGCCTTGGTGAGAAATAGTACAAATGTGTTTTGTTTTTTTAATATAAAACCTAATGTGCTATGCTGTAAATAAACTAGGCTTTTAATACATAAATAAAGGCTTAGAAAGAAAATGTTTTCAAGTTTAACGGGTACACTAAATTAATTATTAAGACCCCCATATTTATTAAGTACAGTGTAAAAAGTATATAAAATCCCTCTTAGCCATTTAGTGGGGCGCACCAGTATGTAATAGGCCACCATTAAATGTGATATTAATGTTATATCCGTTGTTATTATATATTAATATCACACTAATATTAATATTTAATATTCAAGTACTGTAACAGCCCTGATAGTAGTTTAAACCACTTGGTACGAAAAAGGGACCCAATTGATAAGGTCACGTGACAGGAGAAAATGTAAATGAATTGAGAATATTGCCAAAAAAGTGTAATTGATGAAAAGAAATCTGAACTGAAAAAAAAAATACCCGACAATTTGTACTTTAACAGTTCACTTAAACTGTAATTTGGTTTTTACCAGAATTAATTCATTAAATAGTTAATGAATGAGTCAATTACTGTGCCTTGTTTTAGTGGATGCTTTGTTAAAAATAGTGCCAGGTTATATTTTCGTCTTGCTACACAGAAGAAATGGGGAGGAAAAGAATGACAAACGGATAAATAGGTTAGAGCGTCTATCTATTTTAAAAATAAAGGACTGTGCACATTTCCACTGTTGGTGATTTTTGGGGTTTTCTCTGTATTACTGTAGGGCCTTTTCCTCACAATATGAAGCTCCTTGAGGCTACTTTTGTTGTTTTGGTGCTATATAAATAAAACTGAATTGAAATTGAATTGACCCAAATGCTTCACTTTTGAAATACTCCTACTGTGCAAAGAATGGTGTATATTTGAAGTTAGACTACAGTACAGTATTTGTGGCCATAGGAGAGCAGGTGAGGTGCATCTTCTTAGTTAAATTAATAAGGAATAATTATGAGAGCATTTCCTGGACATGCCTTCTTAGCACCAGAGTAAGGACAGATTAAAACAGAAAGGCTTGTCGGAGGGGGGAAAACCAAAATTGAAAAGCAAGTCGTGGTTAAAAAAAATAAAATCCATAAGTATTTGAACAGTGGCACAGTTTTATAATTTGCCCTCCATACATCAACGCAGTGCACTGATCTGGCTTTTTCCAGTTCCGATACAGATGCCCAGAGCCAAGGTATCTGCTTAATCCAATACCTGTTTTGCATTAATAATCTGTAATCCTCCCTGTGAGGACTCATTTGTTTATATGTGAGATAAAATCAGGCTTGATATAAACAGCTTCCATAACTCTGTAAATTAAAAGTAAAAAGTTAATGGATCCAAGAATATAAATGTGTTAAATTTATTAGCGAAGTAATAAATGATAACAAGCTCGGTATGAACACCATAAAATATAAATAATGTGTTGGAGTTATTCATCCAACTTATTTGCATTAGACTTATTTTGGTTACAGTGAGTCATTAGGCTGCTGCAGGATGATGTCAGGTACAGTCACGTTGGTATCTCCTTTTTTCTCCTCACACACTCATTATGTGTGAAGTAGGGCTGTTTGATATAGCGATATATATCAGATGATGATATGAAAACGTCAATCGTTGCATATCACGCTTTCGTTTGTTTCTTGGTGTTGCAAAATAAACTGTTTATGGCAATATTTTTTCATTGTTTTGATGGTCACTGTAGAATTTCTTAAAGTTCTCTCTTTTTCCTATATTTAATATAACCACACTACAGACGGAGAAGCGACTGTTTTTATGCGTTGACGTTAGCAACAACGACGGTAAAACCATTGCGTGGCTCCGTCGTCCGCTTGTTTATTTTCTACATAAACCTTTCACAATAAAGCTGAAGATCCTGTTGAGATTTTTTCAAAATAAACTGAATCACATGAAGGAGTACGCAGAGTGTTTACGGATGAGAAGCAAAAAAGAGCCGTCAGGTACTAAAAAATAAACCTTAGTTTCAAAAATCTTTTATTATTAGAAGCAAGTATCATGGTTGTTACATATTGATAGAACTTATGCCCCTTTTTTTCTCTAAGCTTACAAAACAGACAAATAAACAACATCAAAAGAAAGAAAGAGAAAAAAAAACCAAAAAAAAACCCCACCCACTATGGGCCCCAATCCCCCGACTGCCAGAAAAAAAGAAAGTTTATATTTTCCCAAGGTATGTAAGTAAAGGATGCCAGATTAATTCAAAGTCTTTTACATTATCATTCATAGTATATCTTATTTTTTCAAGATGAAGAGTATTTGTAAGTTCTGTAAGCCACGTCTTTAATACAGGAGTCTCTTTGCCTTTCCAAAGCTGCAGGATCAGTTTCTTTGCAATAATCAATGCATATGACATAAACCTTTTTTGAGAGTGTTGTAAATTTTGTGTTTCTTTGGAGATCCCAAAGATAAAAAAAATATAAACCTTAGAATCAAACGTTAGAACAGGCGTTTCCCCGCAGCACGCTGTGTAATAAATAGTCACAAAGAAAATGTCTAAAAATGTATAGTTTCATGCATCGGTCTAAACACTTGACTCCAGGTACACGACCAGCTAAAAAAAGAAAAACTTCACGCAATTCTGCCGGAGATTCACAGAATTTACAGAAAATGTAAAATTTTTGTGATATATACCGTTGTCAGGACGATAAATGTCTTATAGGAGAATTTGGTCATATTGCACAGCTGTTGTGTGAAGCTGTCCAAAGAGCTGGAGTGAAAGATTATTTAATCAAGCTGAGGGCAACACATTATATTACAAAGCCATTTGGATCCAAATATCAGTTCAGGGTATATCAAGCAATCAAGATGTGACTGAAGTGGAGATTTTGAGCTTTGATTCAAGCGGTTTAATGCAAACTTTGGAATTGCAGCCATGTTTAGGTTGTGTGGCCAACTCAGTATTGGTCTGATTCAAAAAATAAACCTATCAGAGAGAAGGGACTTTAGGAGTGGCCATATCAATTGTCAACAATGTTGATTGGCCAATTTCATTTTAATGGGATCTGTCGCCTCCTTTATGAGGCTCAAATATGTTTTAAAGCTCTGCTGATAAATTCATTTTTCTGACACCTGGCTTAAATGAGAGACAATTTTCAGGCTGTTTAATTTCAGTTAAATGTTTGGCTTCCAGAGTTAAAACAAAGAAATCAAGATAAAAATTATAATTGTGTCTTTGCATTACTTTTGTCTGTATCCGTCTCTTGTCTTGTTGTCAGAGTGAGCAGCGATGGGGAAGGAGAAGCTCCACATCAACATTGTGGTAATTGGACATGTTGACTCAGGCAAGTCCACCACCACCGGCCACCTGATCTATAAGTGTGGTGGCATCGACAAGAGGACAATTGAAAAGTTTGAGAAGGAAGCTGCAGAGGTATGGCTCATGTTGTTCTTACTTCAAAAAAAGATCATTTTGAAATTTTTCTGCTATTTAACTCCTGTTTCCGGTCCACTTGTCTCCTACTCTGGATAATATTCTCATCTTTTTATTACAAGTCCACAAAAAATATTCAGTCATCAGTCTTATTGATTAACCTTTTACACCTTGCAGATGGGAAAGGGTTCCTTCAAATATGCCTGGGTGCTGGACAAGCTGAAAGCTGAGCGTGAACGTGGCATCACCATCGACATTTCTCTTTGGAAGTTCGAGACCAGCAAGTACTACGTCACCATCATTGATGCTCCAGGGCACAGGGACTTTATCAAGAACATGATCACTGGGAC